GGAATCTCCTACTTACAAAATATTGTTCTTAATCACCTTGGCTGCTTGAATTACTTGCACCCAATTCTGCCAAACAGATCAAATGCATTTCCAAGTAAAGTGTGGTATATATTTGATTTGATTTACTTATTTCACGTGAATTTTGTTACAAAACATGGTGAAAAGTGTTGTACGTGATCCCAACAGCCTGTGTTGTTCTTTAACATTTTTGATGAAATAAAATCCATAATAATATAAAGGAAAATTGATTCAGGTCAATTTAGTCTCAAATAAACAAAACAAAGAACTGTGGATGCAGGAAATCTGAGAAACAGTAAATGCTGGAGTAGCTCAGTGGGTCTAGCAGCATCTCTGAAGGGAAAACAACATTATCGTTTTGCAGCCAGTGACCCTTCTTCAGAAATGAAAAACTGTTTTCTCTTCACAGATGCTGCCACACCTACTGAGTTTCTCCAGTGATTTCAGGTTGTTTGTCAATTTCTGCTACAAGTTGCTTTTTGATTTTTAGTTGGTCCAGAATGAGAGAGGGAGAGAGGCATTTTGAATATTCTATTGTCCGTTTGTGTTATTTCAAGCTTAAACAAAAAAGGTTGTGAAGTCCAGGGCTGAGTGTCCATAGTTAATTAAATATTTGCATGAGAGTCAACACTGTCTACAGCCCAAATGCCAAAAGTCACATGATATTCAGCAGTATTTCAAATAATCTGTTTGCATCCAGTTTTGAAAGCATTTTCTGATAGTTCACAATGTATTAGGGCATGGCAGCACATAACATTAAATGAGATGCAATCAACATACTAGGTATACTGACTGTTTTGACCTAGGGGAGGGTGTTACAAGTAATTTATCCAAATTTGCTGATGATAAAAATGTGAGGGTGTGTTGTAATGAGGACATAAAGAATCTGCAAGTGGATATAGATCGTTTGAATGAGTGAGCAAAAGTTTGGTCATGTAGGAAAATGTGACGCCATGCATTTTGATAAGAAAGCATCAGAAGGCAGTCTATTATTTAAATGAAGAGTTTAGCACAGAGATATCTGGTGTTCTTGTGCGTGAAACGCAAGAAGTTAGCATGCAGACGAAGCATGTAGTTAAAAAGGCAAATAGAAAGTTGGCCTTTATGGTGAGCGGGTTATGAGTTTAAAAGTAGGGAAGTCTTGTTACAAATTTACAGAGAGTTGGTGAGGTTGCAGCTGCAATATCGTGTAAAGTTTTGGTCGCCATATTTAAGAAAGATCTACTGGTATTGGATCCAATTCAAAAGGAATTCACTAGCCTGATTTCTGGGATGTAAGGGTTGACTTATCAATAACGGATAAACAGGTTAGGCTGTTATTCATTAGAGTTTAGAAGAATGATTGGCAATCTTATTGAAATATATAACATACTGAGGGGCCTTAATAGGTCTTGAGAAAATGTTTCCACCAGTGGGAGAGTCTCAAACTATGGGACATAATTACAGAATAAAGAGACACTCAATTACAGCTTAGATGAAAAGACATTTCTTCCCTCAGAGGGCAGTGAATGTCTGGAATTCTCTACCCCAGGGAGTTTGGAGACTAGATCACTGTAAGTATTTAGAGAGAAGTTAAATAGATTATAGAAGTATCTGGGAGTTGAGGACTATGACAAGCTGGTGCAAAAGAAGAGTTGAGGCATGGGACAGATCAGCCATGGCTGTATTGAATCGCAGGGTATTCTTGGGAGCCCAAAGGCCTACTCCCACTCTTAAATTCTTATGTTATTATACCATACCCTGATCTAGCTCTGATTCTGGCCTACTTAACACAAAACTTGGAAAATGCACAAAATTTAAAACTACTGTATGATATGAAGATGTAAGTGATTAACTTCAGGACAATACAGGCTGGTTTAATTGGCAGAAGATATTTAATACGGTGAGGTGTGAAATTATTCCGTTCAATAGGTAGACAGAGAAGAGGTAATATAAAGTAAAGAATATAATTCTAAAATTCTGCAGGACAGAGGGACCTCGAATACATGAGCAAAAATCAATGAGTGTAGTAGGCAATTCATAAGATCATAAGAAATAGGAGTAGGACTAGTCCCATTGAACCAGTTTTTGCCATGCTATGTCTTGCAGCTAGTGTGCAATATACCTTTAAGGGATGTACTCATGATGTTCATCATTGCATCATGGGATATGATGTGATGGTATAAAAGTTTCAGACATCATCTTTCTGAGCCCTCTAGCAGCATGACACACTAAGGGAATTAGGTTACAGTTTACCTATAAAATTACTAAGCTCAGACACACAAATACATTCAATTGCAATATATGTAAATACAAGGAGCTATATGTAATGCTTATTGAATTTAGTATGACATGACATATGTCTCCTTCTCACGTTACAGGATCAGAAGTATCACCTCATCAAGTGTGAATACTCTGCTGAAGGTAAAAAGACCATCACTCCATTAATAGCAGATCATGAGGGCAGAACAGATCTTTGTTTGTAGTGGTGTTTATTTATGAAAAAAAAAATAGACTTCCAGATCCTAAATACTACAGCATATGATATTAGTTCCACCACTTAATATGATTGGATTGTGACCTTAAATCAACATTGAAACTTGCTGTCCACATCTGCCCTCCATAACCCTTGACTTCATAAATCAAAAATCTGTCTAGCTCAGCCTTGAATATATTCAATAACCCAGCCTCTGCTATTGGTGAAAGGGAAGGGAAAACTAATGAGGCTTTGAGAAAGAAATTTTTACTCATCACTGACTTAAACTTTAAAAACGTTGGTATTAAACTGTGACCTCAGTTCTAAACTTCCTCACAAGAGCGAACATCTTCTTAGCACTGACCATGCAATTGTTGTTCTTTTAAAATCTCATCATAAAATTCCCTGAAACATTATCCCATCAAGTGAGGGCTTATTCAGAGCAGAAATGTGCAAATTTTCTTGATGCCAAAATGATAAAAATATGTCCATTCCCCAGAAATGACATCCTTTATGGATGAACACAAAAAAAAATCACCAAATTAAACACCTGCTTTACCTCACAGTTTCTCACAATCTATGATTCTATGATTCTACCAGACCACAATCAAAGTAATCAATTATAAATGTCAAAATCCATTATTTTTAATATACTTGCATGACACACCACTTTTGCACCATAGTTTATGTAAAAAGTTTTTCAATATATGATCTGCGGCACTGTGGAATATTGTAATTTAACTGTAATGGTGTATGAGTCAGCAAAAGATTCGAGAAAATCAATGTGTTAATATTAAGTGATATAAAGTACAATAGACAGCCCACAATGCTATCTAGATTTACAAACCTCAGATATAAACTGTTACTGTCAGAGGTACATTATAGAAAATGTATTTGGTGCCGTATCTGTATTAATAAAGGAGACATAAAAAACACACATTAGCTCCATGTGGCCAGTGACAGCCCCATAATACTTTGAAAAGTGTTGTGGAAATTTAATGTCCCAGTCTCAAACCTTACATCTGGATATTCTTCCATATTTACAATCCCTTTCAAATAAAACAATGATAAGAAAGCCTGTGAATCTGGAGGCTTATTCAGTTGTCAAAAACTGTCACAAGCCAATTTAGGAAGCTGATTAGTTCTCCGAGACAACAAGGTGCAGAGCTGGATGAACACAGCAGG